GAGGAAGGAGAAAGAGGGAGGGGGGAGATTAGAGGGAGGGAGGGAGGGAAGGAAGGAAAAAGAGGGAGGGATGGAGGGAGGAAGGAAGGAGAAAGAGGGAGGGAGGGAAGGAGAAAGAGGGAGGGAAAGAGGGAGGGAGGAAGGAAGAATAGCAGAATAACAGAGTTGGAAGGGACCTTGGAGGTCTTCTAGCCCAACCCCTACTCAAGCAGGAGACCTATACCATTATGGACAAATGGGTGACTGGTCCCTTCTTGTAAACCTGCAATATTGGAACACCCACAACTTCTGGTGGCAAGCTGTTCCTCTGGTTAATCGTCCTCACCGTCAGGAAATTCCTCCTTCGTTCCAGCTTGCTTCTCTCCTTCATTAGTTTCCATCCATTGCTTCTTCTCCTACCTTCTGGTGCTTTGGAGAAGAGGTGGACCCTCCACCCCTTCTTCTTTGGGGCAACCCCTCAAATATCAGAAGGTCCCCCCCCGGTCCTTCTTTTCATTAGACCAGAAGGACTAGGGGGGATAAGGTAGCCTCTCAACCCAACGTTTTTGCCCCTGGACCTGGGTTCAAGGCTCCCCTAACCGAGCAGCAGAAGAGACCACCTTCTCTAAACGGGGAGAAGCCCCCCAAAACACACACAAAAAAACACGCCACCTACCGACGGGGAGACGTCCTCGTCAAACTTTTTAATCTGGTTCATGAACTCCAGATGTTTCTTCTCCTCCTCCAGCTGGGCCACCGACTGCTCGCTCCTCTGCAGCTTCTGCTGGGTGGCGGCCAGCTCGTCCCGCAGCCACTGGTTCTCCTGCACCAGGCGCCGGACCTGCGCCCGCAGCTTCTGCTTCTCCGACTCCACGGCGCTCAGGTGGCTGGAGAGGGCGATGATCACCTGGTGGGGCCGGGGAGGGAAAAAAAAAAAAAGCGGGACTCGTCGGTCTTCGGTCGAGAAGAGGATCCCGGTCGCAGCTCCCCCGACACGGCACGCAAGCGGCCAAGCCTACCTGGGCCTCGCCGAGGCCCAGCTCGATGGCCTCGAGGGACTTCCTCAGCAGCAGGGCCTTCTCCTGGGCGGCGCTGGCCTCGTGCGGCGGCGGCGGCTCCAGGCGGCTGACGGTGCCCAGCAGCGCGGCCAGGAGGGAGTGGTGCTCGCTGCGCAGCGTCTCCAGGCCTTGCACCACGGCCTTGGTGCCCAGCACGATCTCGTCCTGGCTCAGCTTCTCCAGCTTCTCCTCCCGCGGGTACAACATGGTGGCCATCGCCCAGCCCTGCGGGGGGGGGGGAGAGAGAGAAAGGAGCAGCTGGGTAAAAGGTTTACGTTGTGTGTGTGTGTTGTGTGTGAGAGAGATTCTTTTCTCCTCCCCTCCCTCTTTTCCTTCCTTCCTCTCTTCCCTCTCTATCCCTTTCTTCCTTCGTTCCTTCTTTCCTCCCTCCTTCCTTTATTCCTTCCCTCCCTTCCTTTATCCTTTCCTTCCTTCGTTCCTTCTTTCCTCCCTTCCTTTATCCTTTCCTTCCTTCGTTCCTTCTTTCCTCCCTCCTTCCTTCTTTATTCCTTCCCTCCCTTCCTTTATCCTTTCCTTCCTTCGTTCCTTCTTTCCTCCCTCCTTCCTTCTTTATTCCTTCCCTTCCTTTCTCCTTTCCTTCCTTCGTTCCTTCTTTCCTCCCTCCTTCCTTCTTTATTCCTTCCCTCCCTTCCTTTATCCTTTCCTTCCTTCGTTCCTTCTTTCCTCCCTCCTTCCTTCTTTATTCCTTCCCTCCCTTTCTCCCTCCCTTTATTCTTTCCTTCCTTCGTTCCTTCTTTCCTCCCTCCTTCCTTCTTTATTCCTTCCCTCCCTT